TATATATATATAAATAATTTTTAATTATATTATTATGCAGGGTGGGGACGGGTACGATGTCGAGAACAGGGCAGATATTAACATCCTCGTCCCCGCCCCCGCCTCCGATTTTATCAATCGGGAAAAATTCGAACCCGATAAATACGAATTTTTCCCGTCCAAATTTGGGCAGGTTCGGGCGGGTACTCACGAAAGCGGGTTAGATTGCCTTGGCTATAGTTAATAGTGTTTTTCGTCATAAAAATATTATTACCTGACTTATAAAGACTTTGAGTAAATTTATTCAAAAATATGTATAAAAAAATATTATTACCCTTTATATTTTTTTACAAATACTTTTATAGAAAAAGTTTATCCATACATATATCTTTAAAGGATTAACTCTTAATTTTCTCACATTTTCAATTAGAAATTCTAAATACACGCCTTTTTCTTTTGTTAAGAAATGTATTTCATACACTATTTCTGCAATTAACCAAAAAAACATATGTTACGTCTTTTTCAAACTTTCATTCTTATATGTTGACTTGTATACTAAAATTTCATATTATTCATTTCAATTATAACAAATTAAATATTTAAATTATTTATTATAAATTTAAAATATAATGTGTATATTTAATTTTCTAAATCAATTTTACTTATAACATAATTTATAAGATAAAAAAATTTATTTATTAATATAGGAATAAATATTTATCCTTAATAGTAGATTAGTAAAATATATATAGAAAAAAAGTATTGGATCTCGGGAGGCAGGAGCAGGGATTTAAAACATTTTATTTTTGGGTTGTTAAAATTTTGGCAGCACTTTCACAACAAACTAATGTTATTGACGTTTTTGTTTCTTTTTCGAATCCAAAAGTACAGAGGAAAATGCCAGAATTTTTATTTTGTTTCTTCATTTGGAAAAATAGAATAAAACAAGAGAAGATAAAATATGGGCTCCACAGTTGTTAGTCTTTCTCTTTAAACTACAGTACCTTGCCGTCCACGTTGTGTCCTTAAGATCAAAGGAGATATGTTGTTTTAAAAGTTGATATATCTCATCGTGTGAATGTGTTGTGGGTGCTTTGAGAGCTCAGTTGTTGAAAAGTCCTCATAGAGTATAATTGTCTCTTGAAATGAAGTGTTGAGTCTCTTTTAAGTTTTTAATTGATATTGTATGAGGTCAGACCGAATCATATTGGTTTAACGGCAGCCAAATTGAGTAAGGTATTAAGTCAAAGAGTAAAATCCTTATCTAATTATTGGAAAAATGCATAATAAATGGGGAGTATTCGACAACCTAATTCCACGTAGGCTTAGCTATACATGTTAAGGTTGTGATAGATTTATTACATCCAAACTATTCTACTTATGACATATATACTAGACTTTCATAATTTAAGTGAAAAATTTTGAGAAAATCATGTTACATTGTTATTTAATATCCAAATTTATTATTAATCTAATAAGTAAAAAAAGATCGCATTATTAAGTTGGTTTAGTAGGGTATAATCACTTAAATTACTCATTTATGTTATAAGAGATCTTTTAATTGAAAATGTATGATAATACATTATATTATTGTATTACAATGTTATTAAGTTTATAAAAATCAGGTCATGCGATTTAATAATAACTCACTAGTTTGACTTCTAACTCACTGATTCATTAATTAATATGATTGATTTGATGTTTAGCCCAATTTTTAAAACACTGGAAAGGCAAATAGGAGGAATTACATATATCATATTTAAAATAAATATGATGGCTCAATTATGGCGAATCCTGGAGTCATTGCCCATTTGCCCAACTCCAATAGTGCTAAAAATGTTGGGACATCATTTTCATTTATGCGGTGACTAAATTGTGGTACATATGTGAGATGTGGCCTATATAAAGGGGTTGAGTTCGGGACACAATAATGCAGAATCAGAAAAACAATGACTCAATCACAAGTGAATCTATCGTCTCAAAATGTCATTTCAGTTGTAGAGACCATACGAAGATCTGCGAACTACAAACCAAACATTTGGAAATACCATTTTTTGCAGTCACTTACCAGTAAATACAATGTGAGATATTTATACACCTATCCATATTATTGTGTTGTTTCTTTTTTACTTTTTTACTTTTTTTTTTTTTTTTGCAGTGATCTTACTATAAAGATTGAATTTAAGATTTGAAAGATTGTTTTATATAATTAATCAATCATAAATTATGATATGTAAAAATATATTTATTATACGCGGTGATTTCTGATTTGACGGTAATATAAGTTTTTTTTATATGGTTGGTACATAAGTTATTTTTTCTTTTGTTATTCTTATAATATATGATTATTTTAATTTTTTAAAATATTTTTTTGTCTTTATTAATTTTTTTAATTTTAATCTCCTACCTCATTGGTTTACTTTGCATAAAATTATAAACTTTAATATGATGCATTCTTGTGTAAGAAGAGTTTCATTTCATTTTTGATTTAGATTAACATTAGCCTTATATTCTAATTTGTTACTTAATAGAAATTCTTGACTTCAGCGATTAAAATGAAAAAGTACGGAAAAGACTAATTAATTAACAAATATTTTTAAAAGAATAGAAAGAAAAATAACTATATATTACAAGAAGCCAAAATTAAGTTATCATGCATCTCCCAGTATGGTGGATTGCATTTGCATGAATAATAGAATCATGCATTAATTTGTTGACATTAACGCTTACTTTGTTTAAACTTCTTAAACAATTTAATTAAAGATGCACCTAAAAAATGATAATTTTTTTTTTAATAATATAAGACAATTTAAATACTTTCTCGCGTAAAAAGTAACTTATAAAATACAATTACAATATATTATGGTAATTAAAAGTACTTTTTTTAAGTTATTCAAATTCACGTGAAGTTGATTATTAGATTCCTAATAACTCGCGAGTGATGATTCAAGTGCTAAAAGAAACTGAGTTTAACGATTCAAGAATTTATGCAATATGTACGTTTCATTTGGAGGAAAGATAAGTGCGTTCCAACCCTAATTAAGATATCTCAAAACAATGATAATTAATAAAATAAAGACAAGTAGTTTTCTTTGGTTTAATTTATTTATACTTTGTTGCATGGTATCTACGCAGAAGGAAGAATTTGTGATTCAGTTAAACCAGCTGGTGATGGAAGTAAAGGGTCTTTTTGTTCAAGAGACTTGCCTGTTGAAAAAATTAGAGTTGGTTGATTGGATCCAAAAGCTAGGTCTTACCAACTATTTTCAAAAGGAAATCAATGAGTTTCTTGAATCTATTCTTGTCTATGTCCAAAATGGCAACATTAATCCTAATGTAGAACAAAATTTGCATGTATCTGCACTATGCTTCAGGCTACTACGACAACATGGATATCCAGTTTTGCCCGGTAACTAAATAATTGTCTCTCAGAGATTCATTATGTCATATATATTTGAATTTTCTCATGTTAATTAACTAACTTTTGGTTTTTTTTTTTCAAACTCAGATACAGTAAGCAGCTTTTTAGATGAAAAGGGTAAAGTGATGAGGAAAAACTCAAATGCTGGTGGCGATGCTAAAGATGTTGTGGAGCTTCTTGAGGCCTCACATTTGGGCTTAGAAGGAGAAACTATTTTGGATGAGGCCAAAACTTGTGCCATAAATTCTCTTAAGGATGCTTCCATCAACATCAACCAACTAACCAAAATGGTCCATGCCTTAGAGCTTCCATCCCATTGGAGAGTTCCATGGTTTGATGTCAAATGGCACGTGGAGCAATACAAAAACGAGAAAAATATGAACCCTCTTTTACTTGCATTGGCTAAATTAAATTTCAACATGATTCAGGCCACACTTCAATCGGAGGTCAAGGAATTATCCAGGTATATATTTTGATCCAATGAAAAAAATTGAAACAAAAAATTATATGTGTTGATTAATACTTGTAATTTGTCATTTAGGTGGTGGGAGAATCTTGGCATAGAAAAAGAGTTGAGTTTTGCAAGAAATAGGTTGGTTGAAAGCTTCATGTCTGCAGTAGGAGTTGCTTTTGAGCCCAAGTACAAATCCCTTAGGAAATGGCTCACTAAAGTTATTATTTTCGTACTAGTCATTGATGATGTTTATGATATACACGCTTCATTTGAAGAGTTAGAGCCATTCACAATGGCGTTTGAGAGGTTTGTTTAATTTATTTCAAAGATAGAATAAGATTGTTAATAAGTAGAGGTTCCAACAACAAGCTATTGCAGATTTATATGTAACTATATGATGTAATGTTGTTGGGGCGTGGTTTATTAGAAGAATTAATTTCACGTGCTATATGCATAGATGGGACGATAAAGAGGTTGATGAACTTCCAGAGTACATGAGAATTTGCGTCCATGCACTTAAAGATGTCACAGATGAAATTGCTTATGAAATTGGCGGGGAAAATAACTTTCATTTGGTGTTACCTTACCTAAAGAAAGCGGTAACATTACTAAATATTGCTATAACCACTTCTCTTTGTTTCTTCAAACACAAATCAATCTAAAAACTATAGAAAGGCATGAAACAAATGTTAATTATGATAACATTCCGTCGTGATAATTTTTACAGTGGATAGACTTTTGCAACACATTGTACGTGGAAGCAAAGTGGTACAACAAGGGTTACATTCCATCGTTGCAAGAATATTTAAGCAATGCTTGGATTTCATCTTCAGGGCCAGTAATTTTCTTGCATTCATATTTTGCTACAATGCATCAAGCAACCAATGCGAATCATGAGATAGGCGATTTTCTACACACTTGTGAAGATTTGATCTACAATGTATCTCTTGTTATTAGACTGTGCAATGATTTAGGGACCAGCGTGGTAATTTTTGGTGCCTCATATTTTGTATATTATTAATTTCCTTTCATTTTGCATATATAAAATATTGAATGTTAATATATGAAACAGGCTGAAAGAGAAAGGGGTGATGCTGCTTCGTCAATCCTTTGCTATATGAATGAAATGGAAGCTTCGGAGGAGAAAGCAAGAAAGCATATCCAAGACATGATAAACAAAGCATGGAGAAAGATAAATGGGTTTTGTTTGAGCCAAGTTGCTTCAGTGGAGCCATTTGTAACTCAAGCCCTAAATATAGCTCGTGTGGCCCATACCCTTTATCAAAATGGTGATGGGTTTGGTATCCAGGACCGTGATATCAAAAAATATATCTTATCACTAGTTGTGGAGCCACTTTAGAAGTTCATGACTTTATGTCATCGTATTCAGATATATCTTAGATGTTTCTCTTTCTTCCATGTGAGTTTGCATACTAAATGCGTTATGCGTAGAATAAAAGAATCCCATTCCTATTCAAATACTTATTTTTAGGATTTCACATATTCTATATTCTTTATCACATCACTCCATAAAAAATGGAATCATACAATTTATTTACTATCATTGAAAATTAAGTCTAACAACTGTTTACGAACTAGCGTGGTTATGCATGTATTGCTCAGGTCAGATTAATCCACGATGAAAATATATGTTTGTTCAAAAAATTAAAATTCAACTTTAATCTAAAATAATTTAAATATATCAAGAAATATAATTCAATTAATTCAACTCCTCTTATACGGATTTCAATTCCTATAAATAAAAAATAATAATTTAAATATAAATTGAAATTCTGTATACAAAACATGTCATACTTATTCATTGTAGTTGTAAAATATATTTTGAATTCTAAAAACAAGTGCATAATGAATTCAATATAATAAAGCATGCTTTATTTACTTATGTCGGTACCTTTGTGGTGTAATGTACTTATATATATTTGAATTCATAAAATAAAATATTAAATAGTTTTTAATTTAAAAAAAAAACATAATCTTTATATTAAATTTTTTTAATTTAATAATTATATCGTTAAAATTTAATGTAAAATATGAAAATTTCATATTCTAAAAACATTTTTACTTTTATTATTACATTCATTAAAGAATACATTATACACACACAATATTAAGTTTCGTTTTCATATTCCAGAAGCAGTTTTATTTATATTATTACATTCATGACAAAATTTCAATGCTAGAAAACTGGTAATAGAAAAATGAAATATTAAAGTAAGAGTTACTATTCCTGGCAAACAGGGTATTTATTTTTACAGCCATTCCTCAAAGAAAAAGATAAAAATAAAATTAAAAATAAAAAAATCCCTCATTCTCTATTATAGGATTATATTTTCCCCTGCGAATTTTATAATTGAATTACAAGGAATTTGACCGGGTCAATCCGTAAAAGCAATACAATTATAGGGCTCTTTAGTAGTCAGTGGCATGTCAACTAGCTTAGATAAATTATTTTGTGGAATGTACTTGTACTTGCTGCAAACGAAGGAATAGAAACTAAAGTACTAAACTTCCAAACGAAGGAATTGAGATTAAGTCACCTAACAATGTGCCTGTAAAGGAGATCCTACGGTTAAGATAGAACAAAATATTAGCTCCAAGACAGTTCAACGACAATAGCTCGTAAGAATTGACAAACAGTATTATACACAAAGGATCTGAGTAAGATCACTTTGGCAGAAGTGTTACATGCATTGCAAGCATTAGAACAAAGGAGGCTTATGAGAGAAGAAGGATCCGTGGAGGGTGTATATTTAGCCAAATGGAAGAACAAAAATAGTGGCAAAAACAAGAAGAAGGAATTGTTTCAAGAGAACAGTCAACATAATAACACTCAAATTTTTTCACCATGTCCTTATTGCAAAAAGACTAATCATCCACAACAAAGATGTTGGTGGAGACCTGATGTAAAATGTGACAATTGTGGAAAATTAGGACACCTAAAACATGTATGCAAATCTCATGAGCAACAAGAAGAAGCCAACATTGTTGAAGATCAACAAGAAGAGGGAGAAGAAGAACTACTTTCAATGTCATGCTTTATGACCAAAAAACCCTCAAAAGCTTGGATTATTGATAGTGGTTGTACAAATCATATGACCTATGATCGAGAACTCTTCAAAGAACTCAACAAAACTGACATCTCTAAAGTTCAAATGGGGAATGGAGCACACCTTGCAGTAAAAGGCAAAGGAACACTTGCTATTAAGAGTCATTCAGGTTTTAAATTAATATCTGATGTTTTATACGTTCCTGATATTAACCAAAATTTGTTGAGTGTTTCTCAATTATTAGGAAAAGGCTATAAAGTGTTATTTGAAGATAAAAATTGTGTGATTAAAGATATACACAACAAAGAATTGTTCAATGTTCATATGAAAGGCAAAAGTTTTGCTTTAAATTTGGAGAAGGAGGAGCCAATTATAAATGAAGATACAAGTGAAGAGCACAAAGATGCATGTCTTCAAAAGAAGTTTGATGATCAAGAGGAGAATGAAGATGATGAAAAATCACCTTCAAAAGAGAAGTTCGAGACAAATGTTAAAGTGGTCCCACTCAAGAAGAATTAGAACAAAAATCACAAAAAGAAGAAACTAATCAAAAAGAGAAAAGGCAGATTTTGAAACTCAAATTAGGTGATAAAGATATTCAGTCAAGGAGGAGTGTTGGGAATATACCTAAATATCTTTAGGAGATTAAATTAGTTTTTATAAGAATATTTTATTTATATTTCGAATATTTTATTTATATTTAGATTTAATCTATTCTGATTATTTTAGGATTTTTTTCCTTATTTTAGAATAGGATAATATCAATATTTGATTTTGTATAACAAATTTTCTCTATAAATAGAGACTCATGAATAAAATTATATTATGCTTCTCTGATAAAAAATAAGTCTTATTATAAGATATCCTCTCAAACAAATATCATAAAATAACCTCATCAGTATGACAGAGCTTTTTTGTTTTGAAAAACTGATCTGTCTTCTACAACTCCTCTTTCTTAAATAGAAAGCAAGATATATCTTTTTACAAGGAGATGAAATATTACAGAAGTTATATAAAGAAGGGAGAGATTATAAGAGATTTTCTAACAACTAGAATATATACTACATACAAAATAATACAGCTATACTACATACAAAATAATACAACTATAATCCTATTAAAACAGGTAATAAATTACATTAAATATATATATTAACATCTCCTCAAATTATTGCTGGTAAGATAATCGGTAACAATTTGTCAACAAGAAACATGGCGCTGTCTAGTCATAGCTTTGGTAAAGATTGATCAAGGTCACAACACTCGATCGCTTATTTATTGTTCCAATCCAATGTAATCCCTATAATGATAACTAATAAGGGTGGCATATGATGAGGACTATTTACTAGTCAGATTAGAAGTCAACTAGTCAACGGATCCATGAAGCAAGCAACATATTCCATCGTTTTCTTCGAAAGACCAAAAACAGTTCGGTTTATGATAACCACGAAGACTCGAAGGAACGACCAAATGAATGGTTTCAGTTGAGTTGAGGCGGTGAACTGAAAATAGTAATAATATATTAACCATAGTGTCTGTCTGGATAAAATTTTTGAAGAGTTAGAGAATTTTTATTTATTTATTTTATTGAAAAACCTCATTATTTTCTTACAAGTTTTCATAAGTTCTTCAAAATTTGTATATAAACATGTTCATGCATTTATCTTGATATCACGTCACATCATGCATCTCAGTTTCTCTCTCTTATTTATTCTTTTTTCTCTCTCTTTTTCTTCCATCTTACACGAAAAGTAAGTTGTTGAAGAAAGGTTTTTAATAAATGATATGTGAAAAGGTCAACTTTGAATTGCAAAATATGGTGACGTTCAGATCATAAAAATTGCCCGAATGGACCGGACAAACCCAGTAAAACAGTAGTTCTAAAAAATACTCTGTAAATTTATTTGTCACAAGTGTTTCCAAACAAAGTGCACAATAAAACCAGTCTCCTCCTAAGCTTTTCTACATTCACATATACTTTAAGAAGGAATAAGGTGGAATAAGAAAAACTAGTGGTTTAGAGATTTTAGTAGTTTAAGGAGCAATGCCATTCAAAAGGTAGATCAGCTTCGAGTTTCAACTTTCAACCGTCCTCTACTATTTTTTAATTCACGGGGTGCAAAGGGTAGCACTCTTAGATTTATATTAAAAAGGAGAGGCAAGATTGTGGCACATTAGCAGTGATATACATCATCCACTTGCTAATGGTGCTAGACTTCTTGAATTGACACAATTGTCTTGGGAAAAACTAGACTTAGAAACTATGCTTCTAAATGATTATAAGGGTAAGAGGAGAGTGATACAAATGACATTAGACAATAATTTAGTAATGATGCTTTTGAGTGCTAGGCTATTGTAACGTGCAAAAAAAATGAGAGCCTACGAAATGCTGAGCAGAGTGGGGAGAAAAAGTTAGTTACACCACAAGGCCACGTGGCAAATGATCAGCAAGGAAATGGACGAAGGAAAAGCATGAGGAGTAAGAGAGAGAATGTATTTCTTCAGGACTACGTGCACTAGGGGAAAGGATGTGTGTGGTATGCTTTCTCTTTGAAAATTCTGCTGCCTAATTCTTCCTGATCTGATTCTTCAGTTTCGATTCTTCTTACTTCTTTCTGATATTGATTCAGGTTGTGAGCTTCAACAATGGTGATCGGGTCGTGACTGATAGTTATCATTAATTTCTCATTTCCAATTCTGTATTGAAACCTTTGTTTCTTGGTTGCAATTGTTTGCTGTTATAATTGTAATCAAGCACTTATATTCTTCAAACAATATTATACAAAATATACAGGGTGTTTCTATTTTCCAGTATACACGTTTCATTGGTGCTTTCATTGACGCCATGGTTGAGAGCACACGTTTGAAGGACTTACAGGCTGAAGTCCGTGGTCATTCCGAGGAACTTCGCAAATTAATGGCTCTTTTGGAGCTTCGTGATCGTGAACAACGGGCTCATACTCAACAAGTCCAGGCAGAGGCTCAAGCTCGGATGGATCAATTCCAACATTCCTTAGATTTATTGGTACAATCGCAATCTCAGCTCCATGATGTTTCTTCGTCTGCAAATCAGTTGCATGTTAAGGACATTTCGTTGGGTTTCCCACATTTTGATGGACACTCTTCGGTGCTAGGGTGGATCTTTAAGGCAGAAAAATTCTTTAACTATCATCATACGCCTGATGCTGCGAGAGTGGAGATTGCTGCAATTCATTTTGAAAAAGATGTCGTGCCTTGGTTTCAAATGCTTCAACGTCTTTCTGCTGTTCAATCCTGGACAGATTTGACACGCGCTTTGGAATCCCAATTTGGCCCCTCTCCATTTGATTGCCCAATGTCCGAGCTGTTTAAATTACAGCAAACTGGTACAGTTTCTTTGATCAGAGCAGTTGCCTTGGCTAAGTTATATGAGGAGAGATATTCACCCACTGTTAAATCAGATTCAACGCCTGTTTGAAGTTATTCTCCTGTGTATTCAACGAGTTATAATACCTCTTAGCAACAGTCCAAACCTGTGGTTAAGGCATCTCTTCCACCATTATTACCAAAACCTACAATTTCACCCTTGGCCAATAGTCAGGTCAAAAAAAAGGTACAAAAAACTATAACCATGAAATAGAACTATCACATCAAATTGAACTCTTAATTGGTTATATTGTCTAACCAAGAGATAACCTGACTGACAACATACAGTTTCAACTCAGAATCAAGCTACATTTTTTTTTTCTTTTTCTGTTTAATCATTCTTTAATTTATCACCCGTAATAAGAAAATGAATGCTTAAGCAAAGGAGAGTTAGGACATCCAACATATTGAGGGAAGAATATATATCGTGAGAAGTGAACTCCTTAAATGAATAGTTCAAAGGATTAGTGTCTGGCTTTCGGCCAAGGATATCCTGGACACCCAAAATTGGAAACATAAATAAACATCACACACCTAGGCAACCTTGGTATAAAAACTCTCAAGAATATTAACCCTACAAGGTTCCCATGATTATGCTATAAACGTGATTTTAAAATTCTTATCTAATGCCAACACATAAGCATTCCAGATCCTGGAGTTCAGGGAAGGTATCAATCTATCTATCCATCCATCCATCCATCATGTTAATATCCCTAAAGAAGAGAATGCTAAACGAATCTTAGACAGCGAGTTTCAACCAAACTCAATTTACAAAACCGGTTTGGAGAGTTGTCCATTTATATACACTATTACGATCAACTGAGTGGTGAATGGGAGATCTCCAACAATGAATGCAAAAACCCTAATAAATACTCGAATCAAACAATGCACCCATGAAACCAAACTAAGCCGACGCCAAGCATAATCGATTAGTTAAAAAAAAAAAAAAAAAAAAAACTCAAAACCTAAAGATAGAAAAAACCCGAAATGAAAAATTGGAGCAATAATAGTAACGAATTAGTAGGAGGCGATACCAGAACCGGCAGTCCCGGCGATGACAGCTTGCATGTACCTCTCCGGCAACTCGCCGGCGGAGCCGACAATGGAGCCCTGCACAAGAGCATCCGCCACGCCGGAAAGTGCAACAGCGGCGGTGGTGGCGTAGAAGCCTTTGTAAAGTCCGACGCGGCCCTTAACGTAGAAGGCGTCGATAAGGGGAACGGCGAGGAGGGAAATAACGAAGAGGAGCAAGCCAACGTTGATTCTGACAAAGGCGTGGGATTTGTGGCTGAAGAGGATGATGAGGAAGATTCCGATGAGGCCGATGAGCATGTAAACAACGGCGAAGATGCGATCGACGCTGGCATCGGGGTAGAGGTAGGCGAAGTAATCAACGGCTGTGATGAAAGCGTTCCACGGGAGAAGGTAACCCAGGCCCAGCGTGAAATACACTATGTACGCTAAATCCCATTTGTCTCCTGAAGCCTCCTTCTTGTTGCTCCTCCCTGAACCCGAAGGAAGAAGAAGAGATGATTCCGTTGGAGCCATGTTCCACTACCACGATGATGATGATTATGATGATGATGAAACACGCAAATGGTAAAGTCAAGTCAAATACTCTCACTTTTTTAATTAATTCTGATTTTCATTCTCATTCTCATTCTGATTTTTTTTTTAAATAAGAAACATTATAAAGATGAACAAATAAAAATTCAATCTAGTTTTTTTATGTTTTTAACTATCTTAATTCTTTCTCACTTAATCACTAAGTTAACCGTGGTGGGATTGTGATTCTGATTACTTATCCATGGATATTTTTCACTAATAATGCAACTGCTCAAAATAATTCTGTTTTTTTTTGCTAATGTTTTCAATCTTAACTATCTCCTTTCTCTCTTTCTTTTTTGTCCTTCTACATTTACTATTTGCTTCGGTTACTACATTCTTAAATTAAAGGGCTCATTATTAATTTATTTACAATTATGTGCTCTCGGTTATTTTTAACAAAGTAAGGTCCTTTTAGAAATTAATTAATTATTACGATGGTGTATTCTTTAAAATATATATTTCCATTTTGGAGTGGTCAGAAGATGAAATTCTTTCTTCTCGAAAAAAAAAAGGGGAAAAACTTTGGTAGTTGGTTTATTTATACAAAGATCTTATTTTGATCAAATAGTAATACCAAGTGTTAACCGTGATTTCTTTTTATCTTAAATAGATGTGATCCCATGCATGCATGCATGATATTTTTTTTACTAACTTATTAATTACTTCTTTTATTAAATCAAAAAGGAGTATGAATACTACATGAAAAACATAAATTAATGTAGTATAAACTAATATTAAACTAGAAGTTAATGGTAATTGTTAAACATAAATTAGTGTGATCCAAACTAACATTAGATATTAGAAGTTAATAGTAATTATTAATTTGTGTCGGTTAAGTATGACTCTTTAGATTGACTAAAAATAAATTTGACACACAAAGAAAAATTTATAAATTTTTAGTTATGAAGGTAATATTTATTTGAGAGAATTTTAACATTAATTTGACATAACGTTAATAACTTATATCTTTTAACTAAAATTCAATATATTTTTTTTAATGATTATCCTTCAATTTGAATTAATAAAATAAAATATCAAATTGAATTATTGAACAGAATAAATTTAAATAAATTTACTCTTAAAATAAACGGATTATTTATATATATATATATATATATATATATAAAGTATAAATAAAATTTGACATTAGATTAAGAAATTTAAGACAGTGACCAGAGACATAAAATGCACGTCAACGAATGCCCAGAACAGATATGTTCCTCATGTTCAATGGGGAAATATAAATAAAAGTATAAAACAACAATGATATTTATTCATAATTAAAAAGTACGAAACCATAAACTAAGCATTTGACAAAGGTACTAGAAGTATAATATAACTATATATGCTTCCTAAAAACTAAAAAGATGCGTTGAATTTGAATGAGTGGATCCCTTTGGTGCTGAATGTTAGTAGGTGATTACCTAAAACATATATACACACTAACCACGTGATGGGAACGTAACATCACTGACATTAATTCATGGCCCAATGGACCGACCTAAGGCCCAATCCCTCAGTTTACCTGCGAATGCCCAATCAAGAATTTACTTTTTGCACACAAATATGTTAAATGACTAATTCATAGTAAAATATTGTAATTAGCATATTATATATTTTTATGAAATTGATTTTTTTTATATCACAACAATAAATAAATATATCACACACAATAATTTGCAACATACTTGATTTCTCATCAAGTAAAATCCATGTATAATTTTTACATCCATATGAAAATTACTCTTTATAAATTGAGTTTTTCTGATGCTAATCTATATTTGTTTTGGTTCTTGTTCCTGTGTTAGGATACACACTCCAATTATCCTTGTTGTAGTAGGGCGGGTCTTGGGTCTCGGTCTTCTCGTTCAATCCGGGCGGTCCGAAGCGAGAGGGGGGGTGCCTGCAAAGACACTCCAACGCTCAAGTAAATACTCGGCGTAATAAATGCGGTAGGTCAAAAGTAGTTGCGTACCTCTCAGGAGTTCTATTTATAGGTGTTCGTGTTGGGCCGTGATTATGGGTTGGGCCCCGGGAAATTAGGGGACTGATCCGAAGTTTATGCTAATTAATTTACTTGTAATTAAGCCTGGTAATGACGTTGGCCTTGGCCGACCGTACCGACAAGTTCCGTACGTTCGTGTGGGGTCGGCGGTGTCGGGTACTCGGCGGGTTCGGGTATGCAAAGCGTTCGGATTGCTCGTCCTGTTCGGCACCATACGGTATAGTTCTAATGTGAACCAAACAAATTTACAATTAATTGGCAATATATTTTTGTAGAAAACATTATAACAACAATAATATTAATCAAACTTGAATGATAATATAACGTTGTTGCATCAATTATTTGTTTTCTTATAAGTCATTTAAATCAAAATAGTTAGAATTTGGTGTTTTTAGTGGAACTATTCAATCATTTTAATCATTTATTAGGTTCAAACTTTTATGATTTGTTTGGGAGAAGAAAAGGAATAGGAGGGAATGAGAGACAACGTATGAAAATTAATTTGATAACAAATAGATAAGAAATAAAGTAAAATTTATAGTTGTTTGATTGAGTGAAATCAGGTAAAAATTATTATAAAATTGATATTTACAATTAATATTTTATACCTTTTTTATAATATAATTTGAATTATTATTTTTTTACATGTAATAATTTTGCATATCTCCCAAATTCTACAAAATCTGCTCAATGAAGAGGGTATAAAACAATAATGTGAAATTCACAATTTTTCTTAAATATTGTCTATCAAACATAATTTTCTCTAAATTCACTCTAATTCATTCCCCTTCTTGGTTAAATCAACCACATCAAATATAGACTTTAAGATCCTGCGTTTAAATTTTGTAGATAAAAAAAACAATTAATCATATTATGATAAATATTAGTTATAAACAAAAGGGATTGATATTTTTCATCAATGACATAATTATCTTAAAATAATTATTTATTTATGGGACTATTATTTTTTATTTGTATCTCCAGCTAATAACTATTTTAATAATTGGAGACTGTCTTAAAAAGAAAAAAAAAATATATAGAAGCAATTATTAGTGTAAAAGAAAATTCTCATTCCTTTCTCTCAGTCAAAACTTGGAAAAAATATTATGTGTATGATTTATTGTCCCATTACTTAAATTTAAATTTATTTTTTAAGAAAATCACGACAATTGGTCGAGTAGTGAGAAATTTGGTTTATATTGTTTATGTTATTATGCAAAATTTATATATGTTTTAAACGATATATGTCTCTGGAACAGATTTTTTTCTTTAATATGTTGCAATATGCGTTGGTTGAAGAGTATATTATAATTTATATACAAATCTTATGTCATTGATGTAGGATAAACTCGGACCATGCTAGTTTGTTTAGCTTATATAAAGTACTTTATTGTATTATTTAAAATTTCAACATAACTTAAAAAAATACGTTTTCAACATAAAAATAAATATTATATAAAATTTAAATATAATTTAGATATATTTTAATATAGTATTTATTTATATATATAATCAATCAATTCCTATATATTAAATACAAATCTATATCAAACATTTAAAAGATTTTTTTTTATGAGAATTTTTTTTTAATTT